CTCAAAACGGCCTTGACGTGTCTACGTTGAGGCTAAAAACGCAACTGTCATATAGTAAATCACAAACAACGTCTTGTCACAGTATCGCGCCGCTCAAAAAGTACGACATACCTCGGCAGCATGATTCTGACTGACAAAAGTCCAAGCAGCCCTGGTTGATCAGATCCAGGCTCGCAAACACTTGAGAAAGAATCATAAGGCTCGGTTTGTCTCCTATATCATCTGTCAAGAGTCTCTTGGCTCTGCTCCCTCCAATAGACCGATCCACGCCTGCGTGAGACTCTAAAACGCAACTGAACAACAAGCGGACAGCAGGCCGCAGCCGGTCCACCAAATTCATCAATCGCCATCCGGAGATCAAAACAAGCGTGAAAGACGTCAGGAAGCTAACAGGTTTAACACTTTCACGCCTCGGGCGGTTCACTGGTACTGCGATATCAGGGACAAGGGTATGGGCGGATTAAACCGGAGAATATCGTGAATGTCGCCGAGGGCGGTATGATGTTGGCTTTGGTGAGCGTTTGACTTGCCGTTCATTATTCCAACTAACCAGCGTCTTTTCTCCAGGTTTGGAAAGTCTTGTGGTTTGCAGTACAGACCCAAAACGGAAGGCCCTGCTGAAGGGACCACAGTCCCGCAACTAGACCTCATTTATCGAAGCCATCACTGCGGATGGCCGTGCCCTTACTCCTGGTATCATTTTCAAGGGCAAAGAACTCCAGAAAGAGTGGTTCGTGACGGAATTCGGCAAAATTGCCGACCGGAATTACATTACCTCGCCGAACGGATGGATGGACCACCTGTCGCTATTGAGTGGCTTGAGAGAGTCTATTTGCCTGAGACGCAGCCTGCCGATGAGTCGGTGCTAGGCTGATCATATTAAATGGACATGAAAGCCATGAAACGGTGCGTTTCCGTATTTATCTCCTAGAAATCACTATTAACCGGGACCAGGATGCATGGATGGCCACGTGCGTTTTGAACAACGTCTACTGCTGTTACCTTCCTTCCCACTGCTCTCATGGCCTTCAGCCACTGAATAACGGTGTTTTCAAGGCTTTCAAAGCGGCGCATCGGAAATAACTTCAGAATTTAACTTGTCTGACGGATTCTGCCCCCGTTGATAAGGTCAAGTTTATATGCGCCCATGCCAAAGCACGTGAGGTCGGAATGACAGCAAAGAATATGTTGTCCAGCTGGAGGGTCACTGGAAATTGGCCAATCTCACGATCCGAGGCATTCCGGCATGCAGATATTCACGCAGATCCGGTAGAGACATCTACAAATTCTGCGCCGCTTTGGCTCCTGATGATACACCCAAGAACCAGCCGCCAGATTCGCGATTTCGAAAGAACAAGGCTCCTAGCACTCGGATGAGTTACGCTGTGATCACTAGAGGCTCTGAAGCCCAAGAACAAACGGTTGCTGAGCACAGCAACAGAATTGCGAAGCTGGAGGCAGAAGTGGCCCGGCTGCAGAGAAGCAAGAAGAGGAGAGCGAATCAGAACGCGAACAGACGTTTTATGACTCTTAGTGAAGCTTTGTGGCCCAGGAAGCCATTCCCAAAGTAGAAGTCAAGAGATGCCCGTTGTGCCGAATTCTGCGATCGAGGAGGAGGTGGTCTCGGAGGTGGAGTCAGCTTCAGTGATGGAAGTCAGGACGGCACCTGAGGCCCTTTGTCACCACCAGATCCGGGAGAGTGGTAAAAAGCGCGGTGCAGATAGGAGCGTCCATTTATCTACGGAATGATATATTTTTGGTGTTTATAATCTCGAGTTCTGGTCATATTTCATGTAGTTCAAATGGTAGACTTTTGGTGGAGTTTTTTTCAATTGCGCTACCGAAAGGTGGGTGTTACCGAAAGGGGGGTGGGGCATGGTAATATCCTGTCTTCACACACTAGGAAAACAACGTTGTCGGGGTGCGCTCCTGTTAGAGCCCGCCAAAGATACATTATGTGCACTGACGCTACATGTATTTCTGTACCATGTACGCCTTCTAACATGCCTGTGTGGCTATGGCGCTTCTTAATGCCACGTGGCGATCCAGTCAGTAGACTTTGCTTCCTCTTGGGGCACGTCTGCTGGGCCGCACAAGGCAAGCATCCTCCACCTTCTTTTCTGGCGCTGTGGTCAGTTTCTTGACGCGGAAGAAGTCTGCAACACTGTTTGCTGTGGGTGTCTCAGCGGGTGCTCCTCCAGGCTACTCTTCCGCGCTGCTCGATTTATCCGATACAACCTCGCGCAAGCCCGAGTTACCCTCGGCAGAGACAGTTGGTCGGGGCATCGGATCTTGGTGATCAGTTATCCTGCACCATGTGCCTCTGCCCTTTGTTGCCGCTGGAATGCCCCGCAATATATAAGTCCACGATAGTGTTGTAGGTGTTCCGTGGATGGGTAGCAGGGCAGATGGGACGGCGAAGGAAAGGTCTGTGATACCCCAGGCTTTGTCCAGATCTCAGAGATGGCGTGTGATGCTTCGAAGTTGGGACCACCTTAGCCATGATGGCTGTTGTTTCGGTTGAGTGCACTCGATGTTTGAAGGATGGTAAAGATATGCCTGAAGAGGAATACCACGCTTACCCTCCTTTTTGCCCCCTCCCCCCCCTTCCCTCTCCCTTATATTTCAGCCAATTATCGAGATGTAAATAGAAAAGCTACATCACACTACTTGGCTTTTTGTCTTTGCATGACGCGACCGGGTCGGGTAGTGCGCTGGAAGACCCAGATACGCTGATCTCAATCACCGAAGCTGTCTCCGTCTCCTCCTCCACCTCCTCCTCCTCCGAGTCGCAATTCACCACAGCCGCTTTCTTTGGACCCCGAGCTCGGGGACAATCTCACCGGCCGCCAAAGCTTCGGCGAGGCACATGAAGCGTCTAATTGAGTTAGGGATCGCTCTTCTCTTTCTTCATCTCTTCAGCCTGTCCACTTCCTCCTCCAGCCTAGCAATTTTATCAACATGTTCTGCTAGTGTCTGTTCTTGAGTTTCCCAGCCTTTATCTATTTTGGCATATTGCCTCCGAGTCGTAGGTGTTCTGGCCTTGCCAAGATCACAATATGGTGGCTGGATTTCAGGGTGTCGTCAAAGTCCAAAACCGGCCTATATTCCGGGGATGCCGCAACTTTGTCTTCTTGGATCTCAGGATTACCCGACGCCTTGAATCGCGAAATTGGCCAATTTCCAGTGGTTCTCCAACCGGACAAGATGTTTCTTGTTGTCAGTCTCGTTTGACGTGCCGTGGCATACGCACGTATAAAGTTGACCTTGTCAACAGGCGTGGAATTCGTCAAAGACGCCAGTCCGTCAAGCTCCTTCCTGTAGGCTGCCTTTATAGCATTTAAAACTCCATTGTCTAATGGCTGGAGGCCATGAGAACAGTAAGATGAAAGATAACAACTCAGAAAGCACGTAGCCATCCACTTATTCTATCGTCAATCAGCAGGGCCTCAATGCCATAAATATAAAGGACGAACAGTTGCATGACCCGTATCCATCCAGAATGACAAGCATGGCCTCAGAGTCGTCTTGAGGTCGCGTCTGAGGCAAATAAACTTCATCAAGCCATTCAACGGCAATGTGGTTGTCCGTCCATCCACTTGGTGAATTTATGTAGTGCCAGTCCGCAAATCTCCGAAACTCCTCCTTAAACCACTGTTTCTGGAGGCTTCTATCCTTAAATATGATGCCTGGAGTCAAGGTGCGCCCGTTGGCGGTGATGGCCTCTAGAAAAGTGGTCCAACCGCGGGACTGGGGTCCATTGAGAAGAGTCTTCCGTTTGGGGTCCGATCTCTAACCACCAGACTGTCTAGACTTAGCAAAGAAATCGGGTTGACTTGTATCGCTTATGGAGAGTCCATTGCAAACCAAAGCCCGACATAATCCCCCATTCATCAATGTTCACGGTGTTCTCTGGCTTGATCCACCCGTACTCTTTCTCCCTGATGTCAAAGTACCAGTGCACTGCTTTGGGAGTAAATGAGTCGAATCGGTTGGCTTCATAATGCCTACCGACCTTGCTTCTAAGTTTTGGATGACGTTGAATGAGCTTTTCTACCCGATGACGTCCCAATTTTGAGTCGCAGCCTTGCTTTTTCAGAACGGCAACTACGCAGGCGCGAATTTGACTCTGGGACGGAAAATAACCCAGAGATTCTTGGCGAAGAGTCCAGGCATCCAAGTTGGCCCCCTGGTCTCTGGATAAGTACTTTCCAGGCTGATTCTGGTCAGTTAATGCCGACTGACTTCGCATTCTGTTGGAAATAGTCCTCTGGGGTATCCCTCATTTCTGACAAGCCCGGCGCTGCGACAGACCTTTATCAGTGACATCGAGGATTGCCTCAGCCATCATGACCTCTGTATAGATCGAACGAGGCCTTTTTGGATGCATTAATGACGGGTGGTGGAGGATGAGCAAGAGTGGAAAGCAAAGGAGATTATGGGTCGAAATTGCCATTTTGCGATGCCAGGTGTCGCGAAGCACGTCTGAGATCTTGAGCTCGGGGTCCCATAAGGGGTATACAGCTAAGGGCCCCGACGGGCTAGACAGAAAGGCAGCCTGCAGAGAGTTCTGAGGCTGCAGAAGACTATTAGGAGACCGCATTAGGCAGCCACACAGGCTGTAGAGAGACTGCATATACGGGGGAAGCTGAAAGAGCCCTAGGCGACTAAGGAAGGTCAGTATGCAAAGGGGGGGCTGGGGAAAGAAGCCCAGCCTCCTAGATATTGTACCTATACAACTGAGAAGGGGATATCAATAGGGAACCAAGGGATATAAATAGGGAGCCTAGAAGAGGGCATTGCAAGAGCACAGACACAAGAAAAGACACAACGAAATACAACAAATCATACCCATCGTTACACAATCAATGCCCACTTGCATGCTCTCTTCGTGAGAGTTATGAGCCCGGGAGAAACAGAGTTTCTGTAACTTCCGGTGTGCAGATTGCAACCAGCCTTTCTTCATCTTTGTTGCTTCTCAAATTATACAGTCAGCGAAGATGTCGAAGAACCTAGCATCACGACGAACAATTCTTTCGGAGCCCCAAGATTGGGATCAATGGATAAAAGAGCTTCGATCTCATACGGACTTTTCGATTCACCATCTTCTCTTTGAAGATAACGCGCAGCCATTCACCCTTCCTCGAGAACCCCAATACGCTGATTTCTCGCCTACCGCAGCCGACGCAGCTACCTCCCAACCTTCCGCTAACATTCGTTCGGCCACAGCTAGTGCCGTTCCTGCTGCTATTAGTGCTGTTCCTGCTGCAATTAGATATACTGATCTTACAGCTTCGCAGCAAAAGGCGTATGGAAATGCGGCTAATGACTACGAGACTCGACGAAAGCGATATCTCTACGAGATAAAGCTTATTACAGCAGCTAGATCAGCTATTACGGACTCAGTCAGCAAGGCAAAGCTGACCTCTTTGAGGGAAGGTGACTCCCTTCGTCAGTGGCTAATCAAACTAGAGACTTCGACGGCCCCTACTCCCGGCTTTATGACTGAACGGATCAGGAGGCAATACCACAGTCATATTCAAAGCTACGGGCCAAGAACGAGCCTTTCGGACTGGCTAACAGAATGGGAAGAGATTATGGAGGATGCAGACCTCTATTTTCTTACTGAAGCCCTTACAGGCCAGTGGTTGCGTGACCTTGCTAATGTGATTAGGCACCTAAGTGACGGCTATGCAACAGTCTTTCAGGAAGAGAGCCGAAAGCTTGACGAAGAAGCTGCTATTGCGCAATTTAACCACTATAAGGCCCTTCGACCTTATACGACAAGGACCGCACCAGCACCTTCCCTAGCAGCGGCTTCTTCAACACAGTGGACCTACCAACTTGCAGCTAGGAAAGTCCGGGAAATTGCGGAGCAACAGCCCAAACGGTCGTACGGAGGGATTAAAAGAGGTAGTGGTTTTCTTACTAACGATATAGACGACGATTCTTCTTCCAACGAGGCACCTAAGGAAAAACGAGCCAAAAGAGACGCATCCCCGGCCACCCCTCGAGGAAGAAGAACGCCCTCACCAGCGCACCGAAGAGAACCCTTACCAGCTTATCGACAAAGAGACCGTTGCCCAGCGTGCGACCTTTCTACACACTCACTGTCAGGCTGTTGGCAGGTATTTGATGAATTACGACCTTCTCGATTCGAAAGGAACGACCGACTTTGCGAGAGGGCAAAAAAGAGCGTTACGAGACGACCCCAAATTGCAACAAAGGGTCGATAAGATTCGCAAAGAACAGGCATAGCAATTACAGCAGCTTCAACCGTCACAAAACCGGCTTATTGGAAAAATCGTTGGAACAGCTAATCCCGCCTTTGTCTACCCAGCAGGCTCAAAGCCATCACCTTCATCGGCTAATACGGACTACCCTCTTCGCAACTCGACTCTCCTTGACTCAGGAGCTTCCCTAAGCGTCTGTAATAATCTTAGTCGATTCAGGTCCTTTAGGAAAGCCCGGAACGATTATCTAGTCACAGGGGACTCAGAAGTCCGCATCGAGGGCTACGGAACGGTTCACGTTAAAATCACGGCACCCGACGGATCGAAAAAGCGGCTACGGTTGAAGAATGTAGCCTATTGTCCTCGATTTTCAGCAAGCCTTATTTCTTTCCAGGCTCTCCTAGACGACGGAATTTTCTGGGATACCTTTACGACACCTACCCGGCTGGTCTACCGCGATAAGACCCCGATTTGCATTCTATTACGAAAATACCGTCAATTTCTACTTGAATTTCAGCCCGTTACTAATAACGACATAGAGGAAGCCGCCTTTCAAGCCTCTAAACCTCGAAGAAGAGGGTCTCGAGACCCTAGGCCGACTGCAACGGCTTCTGCAGACCTTTGGCACGCTCGACTAGGCCACCCGGGACCACAGTCTCTTCAGAAGTTAGGGCAACGCAAAGGAGTTCACATTAGAGGTCCGAAAACAGCCGAATGCGAGCATTGTGCTCAAGGAAGGGCCTACAGACAGGTCTCGCGAAGACCCCCTTTCCGGGAAAGAGATACGCCCTGCTCCGAGATCTGGATCGACTGGACCGACTTAGACCCTGATTTTGAAGGCTACGTGCGAGTTATGTTTATTACTGACGCCTATTCCGGCATGGTATTTCCATATTTTATGCGGACCTATCGAGAGAAGCACAACTGGGCAGCGCTACGAGATTTTATCGACTGGATGAAGCTTCGTTTTGAGTATAACGTTAAGGTAATACGGTCTGACGCGGAGTTATTTACTAACAAGATTCGAAAATGGCTACGAAAAAGGGGTATTTCAGCAGAAAGATCGGCCTCAAATACCCAAGCCCAAAACGGGGGTGCAGAGAGATCAGGGGGCATCATCACAGAAAGGGCCCGCAAGATGAGGATTGCAGCACGGCTTCCCCACGACCTTTGGAAAGAAACAGTGGAAGCTGCTTGCTATGTGAGAAACCGGTCCCCGAGGGCACCTAGGACAACAGCGAATTCAACGGACCCCTGGAAAACCCCTCTCGAGCTCTTTACGAAAAAGGATCAACCGCATCAACACGACCAACTTAAAGCTTACGGCTGCAGAGCTTATGCAATGACTTCTAACGCACAGCTGAAAAGGAAGCGGTTGCAGAAGCTTGATCCAAGGGCTTATATCGGCTACCTTGTTGGCTATAATTCGACGAATATCTTCCGGATTTGGATTCCCCACCTTAAGAAGGTCATTTCAACACGAGACGTAATTTTCGACGAGTTAACATATTTCGACGGCAAGTTCGAGCAACCCACGCTGCTAGCTAGCATCAACGAGCTGGTTCAGAGGGTGGAAATCCCCGAGGATCAGAGAGCCAATCAGGAAATCCTTGATGAAGAAAGTGAAGAGGAGGAATTTGACGATTTTGAAGAAGAGGAAGAGGAAACGGAAAACGACGACGAAGAGGCCGAGAAGCTACAACAAGAAGAAGCTTCCCTCATGACCCCACCGGCAACAGACGACGAGCTAGACTCTATTTTTTCAGTCTTGCTTCCTGTCTCTAACCCTGAGGGGGTGTGGAAGAAAAGAGACCCCTTGAGGCCATCAAAAAAGAGGGTTTCCTTTATTCTACCAAACGTCGATTTCACGATTTCACGACCTAACGATTCAACGCCCCTCATTTCACCTAATCTAACACTAGAACAGCCCGATCTGATGCCTCTAACCAAGGAGTCTTTATATGTCACAGGGATAAGCCAGGAAGACCGATTTCCGGATCGATTTCACGACTTTCACTCAACGCCTATAAAAAACGGTATTCACGGAGCCTTTACAGCAGGCAGGCTATTCAAGCCGAAGACAACAAAAAGGACGCATAAGAAGGACCTTCCCGACCCTCCAGAGACCCAAAAGCAGCTACATCGGCACCCCTTCAAGGAGGAATTCATTAAAGCCCAGAAAGACCACTTACAGTCACACGAAGAGATGGGGTCCTTTCTAGAGGTTCCTTGGAAAAGGGCTGCCGGCAAGCAAGTTCTAGGCTGCATGTGGGTCTTCATCTATAAGACCGACAAACACGGGTTCCTTCAGAAGTGCAAAGCCCGCCTCGTGGTATGCGGCAACCAACAGAAAAAGGGAGACCTACCGACCAGGGCCACAACGTTAGCAGGAATGTCTTTCCGAGCTCTGATGGCTATAGCAGCCGAATACGACCTCGAATTAGATCAAATGGATGCAGTCAACGCCTTCGTTAACTGCCCTCTCGACGAAGTAGTCTATATGAGGATGCCACCAGGATTCAGCAAGCCAGGAAGGATCCTACTACTTAGGAAAGCTCTTTATGGACTACGACGGTCGCCTCTTCTTTGGCAACAGCACCTTACGGGTTCACTAGAGCAGCTTGGATTTCAGAAGGTTCCACAAGAGCCTTGCGTGATGAGAAAGGGAGTATTTTAGTGTTTTTCTATGTTGATGATATCATTTGGGCATATCGGAAAGAGGACCAAGAAGAAGCTAAAAGAGCTATGCAGGGTCTTCAAGAGCGGTATCAGATGACCTTATTGGGAGAACCTAAGTGGTTTCTAGGGATTCATATCATACGGAACCGGTCTCAACGGACGATTTGGCTGACGCAAGACGCCTATATCGACAAAATCGCCCACAAGCTTATGACAGACTTACCCATGAGGAAGCTGCCGGACACACCGATGACTAACGAAGAGCTTCTTCCTTCTCCTTCTTCGGACCAAGCTTCTAAGCAGGATATTCACCGATACCTTCAGAAAGTCGGATCTATCCCTTTTTGCAGCTATTTCAACAAGGCCCGACGTTGCATTCGCAGTCTCCCGGCTAGCTAGACATAACCAGAACCCCACCGATTCACACCAACAGGCCGCAGACCGAGTCATCCTTTACCTCTTTAACACACGTTCTTATGCAATACAACTAGGGGGCCAACGAGACCAGAATTCGAATGCGGCAGAGATATTCCTTTGTTCAAGCGATGCTTCCTTCGCAGATAATACACTCGACAGAAAGAGCTCTCAAGGTTACGTTATGACCCTTTTTTGGCGGACCTATTGCATGGAGAGCATCAAAACAAGCAACCGTCACTACTTCAAGCACCGAAGCCGAATTTCTTGCTATTTCAGAGGCAGCCAAAGAGGCTATTTTTATCAGCAGATTACTACGGTCGTTACAGTTAGCTATTCCGACCCCTTTACAGCTAGAATGCGACAACAGTCAGACGATACGACTACTCGAAGAGGATAACGCAAAGCTTTCAACACGGCTTCGTCACGTTGATATACACCAGCATTGGCTACGACAAGAGACTCAGCAAGGCAGAATTCGAATTCGTTGGGTTCCGACCGCAAAGATGCGAGCAGTCGGCCTAACAAAGGCACTTTCATTGCAGAAGATACGAAGTTTTCAAAGATTGATTGGCATTATTGATATTCAAGAACGATTACGGCTTGAGACCCGAATGGAAGACTTGCGGGCTAGGATCAAGGACAGGCAGGGGGGTGATTCCCTAGGACCTGCTGCTCTATAATTCCTCCCTACTGGGCATTTGAGGAGCTTTCTCCCTAGACTGGGCATTTGAGGAGTTTCCTCCCTAGGCTGGGCATTTGAGGAGCTTTCTCCCTAGTGGGCATTTGAGGACTATTCACATGAGACGCGGAGTCTCCCTTCAATGAAGTTTTACCCCGAAGGGACCTCTCAAGACACTCAGACAGAGCTTTTGAGTTTACCTTGGGTTTTCTCCCTGACGGACCTCTTCAGAGGAAGGCTTCGAAGCTGTTTAGCTGAGCCTGAGGGGCAGCCACAGCTAAGGGGGTGTGTCGCGAAGCACGTCTGAGATCTTGAGCTCGAGGTGACCATAAGGGGTATACAGCTAAGGGCCCCGACAGGCTAGATCGAAAAGCAGCCTGTAAAGAGTTCTGAGGCTGCAGAAGGCTATTAGGAGACCGCATTAGGCAGCCACATAGGCTGTAGAGAGACTGCATATACGGGGGAAGCTGAAAGAGCCCTCGGCGACTAGGGAAAGTCAGTATGCAAAGGGGGGGCTGGGGAAAGGAGCCCAGCCTCCTAGATATTGTACCTATACAACTGAAAAGGGGATATCAATAGGGAACCAAGGGATATAAATAGGGAGCCTAGAAGAGGGCATTGCAAGAGGGACAGACACGACGGAATACAACAAAAACACACCTATTATTAAAACAATCAATGCCCACTTGCATGCTCTCTTCGTGAGATGAACCATGACGAATGGTTGAAATACGTGGAATTGCTCGGAAAGCTGATTTGGCTATGCAATACGAGGTTCGACATTATATTCGCAGTTAACAGAATGGCATCTTTCACGGTAGAGGCATGCTGGAACCACTGGAAGGCTTTGCTACGAATATTGGGTTATGTCGGCAGGACTATTCACCACGGTATCACATATGGCGGAAATAATGAGCACGCACAAGGAGTCGAAGGCAGCGATATCGACTATTACTCCATTGACCACAACATCGAAGGGCACGTCGGCTCTGCAGGCCTGCAAGATGGAGAAGCGTTCTCTGACACCGACTACGCTACTGATCCAAGGGACCGGAAGAGTATCCTGGGGTTCGTCTTTATGGTCTACGGAGGCGCCGTCATGACGTATAGCAAGAAGATGAAATCAGTGGCAAGATCTACGACAGAAGCAGAGTATGTTGGGATGGGGGAGGCCACAAAAGCTGCCCTCTGGGGACGTCGACTACTTGCAGAACTGGAAGGAAAGGGGGAGCAAACAGTGCCACTACTGCTTGGAGATAATAAGGAGCTGTACAGCTGACCCGAGGAGTATCGAACACGTCGAAAATCAAGCATGTTGATATAGCATTTCATCACGTGGTTGATGAGGTCAAGGAAGGAGAATCCAAGTCTACTGGGTTCCAGGGGAGAATATGCTAGCAGATGGGATGACCAAGCCTCTGCCTAGGAGGCTTTCGAGAGGAACAGGAGGAGGATTGAATTGGACCCATACGCTATGAATAGCGTTGCAGTTGAAGTCTGACAGCTCTAGAGATGTGTTGACTTGATATGAGACATGGACCAAGACATGTTTAGGCAGCAGTTACAAGTGGTGAGTCACTGGATAGTGGCACGGACGTGCCACTATGTATATATGTATGTTGAGAGCTGTCAGACAGAATTGAATAGAAGTAAGTTCAATCGCAACAGACCTATTTCTATAGGTTGCACCACAGTCCCGAGAGAGGAAGTTTGCAAGTGGAAGAGAAAGACCCGTGATGCGTTTTTGCGTGTCCCTACGCACACTGGGGCGTTGGGCACGGCACCAAGCATCAAGGACACCGGCTGCCGCACGCGCAGCCATGTGAACAGGCAGCCGTGTGAACAGGCAGCCGTGTGAAACAGGCAGCCGTGTGAGCAGGCATCGGTATGTGGCTGCCTTGTAAACCGGCCGGATCACCTAGATAGTCCGACCTGGCTGCCTCCTACATGTTACGGCCAGGCACATACGAGCCTTGACGGCTATAAAGATGTATTGGCACTATGAACAAAGACTCAAAGCTAAGGAGCAAGAAAGGAAGACTAGACTACACGACCGAGCGGGCCCTTATATAGACACGAGGTCGCGCGTGGGCACGTGATGCTGCTTGGGCACGTGACACTGGTGAGGTGCTGCGCTGGCGGCTCTACGCTGGCGCCCAGGGTCGTGACACTGCCCCCCGTCTAAGGCCTTGATATGCGTATCAAGGTAGTCAGTCGTGGCGGCGGCTTCTTGGTTTCACGGCTTTTCTGCTGTGTCGTCATCGTCTCGTTCCTCGCAGCCCTCCTCCGCTGCAGCACATTCGATCCAGTATTGCAGGTTGACGGGCGGCCAGCTGAGCCGTCACTTGGGCCATCGTTGGCGGGTCTTCGATTGAGGCCGACGTCTCCTCTTGCAGCTGGAGAATCGGGGTCGAGTCTTGGTCTTGGTCTTGGGTCGAGGGGCCTTGATCAGGCACTTGCGATGCCGTACGGACTGACTTCCTTGTCGGGGGTCCGTAGTCGAGTTTCTTCGGCATCACCTAGTCAAGGGCGAGTCGGGGTCGAATCCAACACGAAGCGAATCGGTGGGCCAAACCTCCTGATCACACACAGGAGGGTCAAGTCGACAGGCGGAGGTTGTTCCTTTCCAGTCTTTAGGAAGAGGAACGGGTCGATGCGCTGCACAGTCCTTAGTGCGTGCGCGGGTCAAGGCCGAGCCGAGCTGCACACGCAGACGAGTCGACAGGTGCCTCCAGTACCTTCGGAGGGCTTGGTCGAGTGTCCTCACGGACAGTCAACCCTCTGATCACATACAGAGGGGTCGGAAGTGATTCGCAACGCAGTCCTTAACGAAGCGAATCGGTCGGGCTCCTGATCACACACAGGAGGGTCGGTCGGTGTTGAGTCGGGGCACAGTCCTTAGTGCAACGGGTCAACGGTCGGTCGGAGTGCACGAGTTTTCAGTCCAGCGCGAAGGACCAGGTTGTGGGTGCCTATTTGTTTATCGCGGGGCACGCGAAGGTTGCCTATATTTGTTTCGCGGGGCACGCGAAGATTGAGCTTTGAGTAGTGTTTCGGCCAGGCACATACGAGCCTTGACGGCTATAAAGATGTATTGGCACTATGAACAAAGACTCAAAGCTAAGGAGCAAGAAAGGAAGACTAGACTACACGACCGAGCGGGCCCTTATATAGACACGAGGTCGCGCGTGGGCACGTGATGCTGCTTGGGCACGTGACACTGGTGAGGTGCTGCGCTGGCGGCTCTACGCTGGCGCCCAGGGTTACGAGCCTTGACGGCTATAAAGATGTATTGGCACTATGAACAAAGACTCAAAGCTAAGGAGCAAGAAAGGAAGACTAGACTACACGACCGAGCGGGCCCTTATATAGACACGAGGTCGCGCGTGGGCACGTGATGCTGCTTGGGCACGTGACACTGGTGAGGTGCTGCGCTGGCGGCTCTACGCTGGCGCCCAGGGTCGTGACACTACATAAGGATGAAGCAGTCATAGCTTAGTTGGAGAGACAACCATCCCACTTCATCTCATTCATATGCAAAATGCATCAGATTGGTAGCAATTCCTACCCTTTGCTTTGATTAGCACCAGTGAGCCATTGTGTAAGCCTCACACCATAGCTCAAGTCTGCTTGGGCACCACACGTGAGCCGTTGACTCGGGCTCGCACCAAAAAAAAACCACCAAAAACAACCATCGTGACTTACATAAGTCGCCCCCACGAGCTTACCCAAGCTCACCACCCCCCACGAGCTTATCCCAAAGCTCATCAATCCTTTGGCTTGCTAACCAGCTAACCTTGTGGTGCGACCGACACCCTTGACAGCTAGCAGCCAACATTTCTTCACCCTCGTGATAACGCTATAGGGTCAATACCGTTGCATTAAGGTGTCTTTCGCTCGTGACGACTTTGGTGATAGTAAGTTTTGCGAAAGCCCGTGTAATCGTATATCACTATCGCAAGTGTCAGCTGGCAAGCAAACCGACCACACAATGGCCAAACCGACCAACGAAGGAAGCTCGGTCAAGCAAGCTGACGATAGAAGCTCGCCACGCCCGGCTGAAGAAGATGATGCACCCCGGCTACCGGACGCAGTCCAGCAACGCCGCCCGAAGCGCAACAGAGTCTCTCTCAACCCCAAGGACAATCATTCGCAATTGGCAGACCAATTACAGCAGCTCCCAGAAGCTCTCAACGCGTGGAAATGGTCCATCCGATTCCTCAAGCTGATGCGAGACAAATCTAAGGAAGCTCTCGATACCTTCACAGTCCGTGACAAGGAAGCATGTGAAGCCTTGGAAGATCTCCTTTCCACGTCTGTGCTCATCAAATCAGCCTACGCGAAGTATTGGCTGTACCACAAGCCGGCATCTCGGACCTCGAACATGTGCCTGCATGGAGAGCAGTGGTGGAAAAAGCCTATATTGTGCCGGAACCCACAGAGGACAACATGATGAAATTGATCTCGAAGATCACGCCCAAGGAAGTTGATTCGAGGTCAATGACATCCAATCTGTATATCTTCCGGATGCCGACCAACAACTTCCCACGGAACAGCGAGGTATAAATTCTCAAGCTATGTTGCAGTCAACGGAACCCCCAAAGGCGCCAACTCAGTCACAATCACCTTCAGGCGTGAGGAAGCAGAAAGGAAGCCGGCATAGCCACCACAGCCGCCGCGACCGCCGCAGTCACCACAAACATCGCAGATACCTACGACTAGATGATTCAAGCGACTCGGAATCTTCTTCTTCCAGCAGCAGCAGCTCTGGAAGCAGCATTGGCATTGGATACGCTCACAGCCGCCGGAGCGCCTCTCTCCCTACCACACAGACCTTTCAAACCTCTAGTGATGTGGAAGCTGTTGCCAAGAGGCTCAAACGTGACAACATGGGTGTTTTCAACCCCAATCACAAGGATCCTCATAAACAAGGCCTTGTGTCCCTCTCAAGCGGCAGCAATGTGTACACGGATGTATACCTCTTCTGCGAGCGCCTGCGAATGTACAAGGATCTCGACTCCTACGCCTTGTCGCAGCACTATATGTCTTTCCTTGCCGGCGGAGCTCTACAGTGGTTCATGAATGAACTTTCCATCGAGCAGAAGGATCGCCTTATGAAGTCATCAGTAGAGCGTTTCTGTAAAATGCTCATCAAGCGATTCCAACGCCCAGCAGCAGAGGTCTCAAGGAATTACACGGCATTCCGTATACCGTGTCAATGTGGAATGCTGGTGAAGTCTCCTTGCCTCAATGGATTCAACGGAAAGTCTCCTAGCAAGGCAAATCAACATCGAAAAGGACTACCAAATCATCCAAAGCATCCACCCCTTGATTGCGGTCCAAATCGCTACTCACCTTTCTGTGCCCACTAAACGCACGCCAATTGACAAGTGGGTACGAGAAATCGAGGAACGCCGACCCTGATCTCCGCGGCATTGGAATTTCGCGGCAGATACGATGAACGCCCCAAGGCCGTGACCGTGACCGCAACTACCAAAGTCGTGATCGTAGTAGTGATCGTGATCGCAGCTTTAGGAACGATAGCCGCGACCGCGACCGCAGCTATCAGCGAGATCACTACCAACGCGATCGAGGCCTTGACCGCAGAGACCGCAGCAACCCCAGCAGCGACTTACGGGCCAAGGAAGGCGAGAGCCGCCCCAAAGATCCTCAGCGCAATGAGCGAAGCGGCGGCTATGAGAAAAGGTCCGCTTTGAGAAAAATTACCTTGCCAGCGAGGATGAAAACAAGCAAGATGCTCCAGACGACAAGAAAACCGCCATTTCCGACAACGATGAAGCCAGTGATGTAGGATCAGACGCTTCTATCGAGGAATACTACGTCTGTATGACCTCAACTCCTGAGAATCTTGGCCAACAAGGAAACCACCAATGCCGGAAGTGTAACCGCAAGTTCCCCTCCCGCAGTGTGTTATTTGAGCACACACAAGCACGCTGGTGTGTGTCTGCTCAACAGCTCCAGCAGGAGGCGACCCCAGCAAGACCTTCGTTGTGTGGGAAATGCTACGCCCGATTTCCCTCACGCAATGCACTCTTCAGGCACCTTCCTGGTTGCGTGTCACAGCCCAAGGCCCACGCAAATGGAGAGGCATATAAAGCCGTAGAGCAGCACAATCCAATTCCTCCCCAGAAAGCCCAGTATCTTTGGGAACAGTCGCGAGCGCTATCGCAGGAAATCCTCGAGCCACAGCCGCTCGAGCCGCCATCGCACAATGCCCCTTTCGGCTACTCATATCTTCGCATCAAGATCAAGGCAGCTCCCACAGGACCAGAGACCGAGGTCTGTGCGGATTCCGGATGTGGCAACCCCCTGATTGACAGAAAGCTTCTCAAGAGCTTCGAGCACACCATTGAGAAGAAGCCTCCAACGCCAATTGCAGGCATCAGCGGCAGTGTCCGCTGCACAGACTGGGCCACGTTCTCCTTCTATACAGAAGGAAAGAGGGCTGACGGCAGCAGCGCCGGCATAGCTAAATTCACCAGTTCCGCTTGGGTGACTACCGTGGAACCAGGAGCCTTGCTAGGCAATGCCTTCCTCAAGCCGTATTTTGGAAACATCCACTACGACAAGGAAGTCGTTCAAATAGGCCTCCTCGACGACTTCGGTATCCCTTTTAACATCTATAAGCCTCATAAAGGGGTAGTCCGACGCGTTCAGGCCGTCAGAAAAACCGTGGTCCCGGCAGGCAAGACAATGCTAGTCCCAGCTAGCTGGAAGGAAGTCCCTAAAGGCCGTTCCTTCGCTTTTCATTCCAATCATCCCTTGGCCGCTCATGCTCTCGTTGACCGAAACACTGTCCCGGCGGTCATGTTCACGAACACTACGAACCAAGATATCATCGTGAACCGCAAACAGCGCCTAGGGCAGATCAGAGAATGCGAGGAATCGGGCTACTTCGCTGCAGCCTCATGGAAATCAGCTCTGACAGCTTTGACAATGGCCACAGCGGCAAGAGCAGCTCCAACAGCGGCCTTGGCCCCAGCAACTTCTGCAATGACGATTGAAAGTGCTCCCCAGAGCCATGCATCGTATGATCTTGCTATCAACAGCACCTTCCACCTCTCAGACGATGTTATCGCAATAGCTGACGGGACCTTCACCCCGGAGGAAGCCCCTGTTCTAGCAGCAACCGCAGAATCAATTTCAAGCTTATCAGAAGCTGTGTACGCGTACACAACAGCAGCCAGCAACGACAGCCAGCCCTGGTCAACAACAAGAAAGGAGCTCAACGTCACAAGCACCCAGCTTAGTGCAGCAGCAACAGCCGATACTCCTGACCTTGCCCCCGTGTGCACTGACGACGGAATTCACATCTATGCGCAAAAGGCAGCTTCGTGACCAAGATCAAAGCCCTCGTTGAAAAACACGCCAAACTATGGAAAGACTCGGGCACAGCTCAAGTCGAAGCAGGCCACGAGCTCACAGTTCCCTTATCAAGGATTGGCACACGCACAAGGTGGCTCAACGCCCTATCCTCAGGGATTACGAGACAAACAGGTCATTGATGAAACCCATGACAAGCTCCACGCACAAGGACGCATGGAATACGTGCACGGGCCAACCCTTTGCAGCCCCGTCTTCGTTGTGTGGCGAACAGCCCGAGGAGAAACCAAGGGCAGGGTCGTCATCGATTTGCGAGCTCTTAATAAGGTCACCATGCCAGACAGCTATCCCTTGCCATTGCAAGAAGACATCATCCAAGAGCTTCGAGGCGCACAGTACATCACAGCAATCGACGCATCGTCTTTTCCCACCAATTCCGAGTCAAACTCGAACATCGTGATCGTTTTACCCTCACGAGCCATAGAGGACTGGAAAGACTGACTGTTGCACCAATTGGCTTCTGCAATAGCCCGGCCTACGCCCAGAGCTATATGGATCGAGTGCTTCGACCATATAAGGGGTTTTGCAGAGCGTTTATTGACGACGTTGTGATCTATTCGAAAACGGAAAAAGAGCACTTACAGCACCTTAGCAAAATCTTCCAGCTATTCGAGCGTTTTAACCTCACGATGTCGCCAAAGAAAAGCTGGATTGGGTATCCCTCTGTGCAGCTCCTTGGCTTCCGCGTTGATGCCTTTGGAATGAGCACAACGGAACACAGGCTGGCAGCCTTTGCAAAGCTGGAATTTCCAGACCAGCTATCTGCGTTGGAAAGCTACATTGGAGCAACAGGCTACCTACGGCATCTCTTACCGTATTATGGAGCCCTCATTGAGCCATTGCAGCACCGGAAAACTCAATTACTAGCCCAAGGACGAGAAATTGGCAAAATTCAGCAAGGTAACATCAACAAACGCCGTGCCTTTGCGAGGAACACCAAATTCGAGCCTAGTGAAAAGGAGCGGTTGGCATTTGAAGCTATCCAAAAGGAAGTAGCCTCCGGCAGGATGATCCACCACATGGACCCAAGCAGGCAACTGTTCTGTCAAGTTGACGGGTCCTTGCAACGAGGATTTGCCTGTACCTACTTCCACCTTAAAGAAGGTTACGAATGGAAGCCTGGCCAAGCTATTTCCTCAACAGCGATGCAACCTATAGCTTTTCTCAGCCGCACCCTCACCAACGCAGAGAGATCATATGGTCCGTCGGAATTAGAAGTGGCCTGCCTAGTCTGGTCTATCAAAAAGATGCGCACAGTGGTCCAATCGTCAACGAAGCCCTTAATCGTACTTACGGACCATTCAGCCACACAGCAGATCGTCAATAAGACCTCCCTCGACACTTCAAGCACGGACAGAGCCAACAGACGGCTAGTAGTAGCCTCCATCTATCTCTCTCAGTACGAATTGCAGGTTGATCATCTTCCAGGAAAATCAATTTCATCCCTGATGCCTTAAGCAGGCTGTCAGCCCTGAGACCGACCAATTGATCGAGCGGCAACGACCTGACTACACAGCGCTTGACGATGTGCTCCTTGCGTCTGAGGCCATCATGGATCCAGCATACCGCATCAAATTCAAAGAAGGCTATCAGGCTGATACCCATTATCGCAAGATCCTTCAAATGATCCAGGACAGTGAGAACACTGTCAAAGCTTCTAGGGCCCCAGAAATCGCGAAAATCAAGCGCAGAGGAATTCTTTTTCGTGGACCAGGGTCTGTTATATCACGAAGGAAAAGATGGATATGTTCGTCTCTGCGTGCCCGCAAGCCTCACGCACGAATTGATGCAAATGGCACACGACGACAAGCACCACTTTGGCGTTGTGAGAATGCTCAAGGAGTTGGAAACCTATTCGATCAGGAACGTATCTTGGCAAGCGAAAAAGCACATCGCCAAGTGCAAAGCTTGCTGCCTTGGACAGACTGATCGACAACAGCTTGCTGGAAGCTATCTGCCCAATCGACCCCCGATGCTTCCAATGCAGTCAATTGCAATGGACTTCATCACAGACATGCCTGCCGTCTCAGCTATGGGCTCACCCTGGCATATTGAAGGCTTTAATGCCTTTAATCAATTACTTACAGTCACTTGCTTAGCTAGCAAGCGATGCCTACTGATTCCAGGCAATGCAAAGTATAGCGCCAAGGACTGGGCAGCCTCCCTAGCTAGGCAGCTCATGCTATGTGATTGGGGCATGCCGCGCACGATAGTCAGTGACAGAGACCGCAAATTCACCTCTGCTTTCTGGCAAGGGCTCTGGAAGGCCTTTGGCACCAGAATCAGCATGACAACGGCATATCATCCGCAGGCGGACGGCTTGGCCGAGCGGCGCAATCAAACAGTGGAAACAGCGTTGCGACTGGCCTATATTGAGGACCCCAACCTTGACTGGAAGACCCTTATTCCTTCGCTGCAGTGGCATCTAAACACAGCCTACAACACCAGCACGAAGACCTCAGCCCATGAACTAATGTACGGATTCCCCTGAAAGGGCCCTGGAGGCTGTTGATCGCACAGCCAGCGCAGAGGCAGACGAATTGCCCTACATCAAGGAAGCCTTGCGTAAGCAGGCCAGCCTAGCTATGGACCTTGCAGCGATGAAGGCCAAGCGTTGGTACGATGCCAAACACCGACCTATCCATCTCAAGGCTGGAGACAAGGTATATCTCAAGCTTCATCAGGGATATCACCAGCCAGGCAGGCCGCCCAAGAAGTGGTCACAACAGCGGGAAGGCCCCTTTGTGATCAGAAGGATGGTTGGAGACCTGGCCTGTGAATTGAACCTTCCAGAGCAAATTAAGGTCCACCCAGTGATCTCAATACACCACCTCAAGCCAGCTCACGAAGGCTGCTTTGAAGAAGCTCACCCGGACCAGTAGAAGTCACAAGGGACTTTACGGACCAGGAAGGCGAATTCTACGAAGTTGACAAGCTTCTTGACGTACGGGTCAGGAAAATTGGAAGAAACAGGAAGCCCGTCACGGAGTACTTGGTCCACTGGAAAGGATGGGGCAGCATGCATGATCAGTGGGTCAGGAAGGAAGAGATATCGTCAAAGGCCCTGGATGAGTTCCACGGGCAGACGACGGGACCGCGAGTGGTTCGCAACAGCAAAGCAAAGGGACGATCGGAAAGTTCTGACATGTAGCCTCTGTTGAGGCAGTCACTGAGGACAGTGGAGTTTTCTTTTTGAGGCCGGCATTATGATGCGTTTTTGCGTGTCCCTACGCACACTGGGGCGTTGGGCACGGCACCAAGCATCAAGGACACCGGCTGCCGCACGCGCAGCCATGTGAACAGGCAGCCGTGTGAACAGGCAGCCGTGTGAAACAGGCAGCCGTGTGAGCAGGCATCGGTATGTGGCTGCCTTGTAAACCTGCCGGATCACCTAGATAGTCCGACCTGGCTGCCTCCTACATAAGGATGAAGCAGTCATAGCTTAGTTGGAGAGACAACCATCCCACTTCATCTCATTCATATGCAAAATGCATCAACCCGATTCCTTGAAGAATTCCCTGCGAGACCTATTTCTATAGGTTGCACCATAGTCCCGAGAGAGGAAGTCTATGCTACACACACGACAAGAACCGACTAGACCAAGCCGGTAGGAAAGCCTTGACATCACAACAATCAACATGTCACAAGGACAAACAGAAGGCATAAGGGTTATACAACCTCAAGAAGATGTACGCCTACGCCAACCTATTTCTGCTCAGGAATTTATGCGCGGAACCGACTTCGCGGCCGATTTTTCCGCTATAGACCCTCAGCTTCGATTCAAAGATATCTCAGTCGATAATATAACGGAGATACATGCAACCACGTACGCAGCTAAGGCCCTTAAAGCCTATACTCTTGAGAAGATGTGGGATGATGAAGTCTTCCATGCTTTCCAACAAGACTTTGAAGGATGGACGCTAGACATGTTCCTTATGGTTGAAATTTCATACCGGCGGGAGCTCCGCCGGGTTCTCCGCCGAAAGGGAGTATATACTGGGACGAACCACCAGCGAATCGAACGATCCTTGATTAAGCTACTCGAAGCCGACAGTTTCCTACTTGGGACCCCGAGGAATTCACAAAACAGATATTTGACGTACGATCAAATGCTTCCTGGCAACAACAAGCCCTCGCAACGCCTTCTTCCGAGAGAATATCCAAAATCCGACCCAAGACCAGTCACCAAGGGACCAGCCTACAACCCAAGCCCAGGCTTTGCAACAGCAGCAACAGGTTGTTTCCCAAGGACCCCAGAGGCCTCCCGAGCAAGCCCAACAGATGACCCCAAGGAACCTTATTCCAAGCCCCATTTTCCCAGGAAAGCTTTCCCAAGACATCCCCACTCAACAGACCCAGACGAAGTCTATTCCCAAGCCCCTTACTACAGTCATTTCCTTCAAGGCAGACCCAGCCTGACGGGCATCAGCCGTACAAGGCCCTGCCCCTCGTTCCGTTCGAACGAACGGCTTGACCCCGCCGTTTCTGCCCAGTTTCTAAAGACCTTTGACAAAGACCAAAAGTACACAGGCGAGCCCTACGACCTCCTTGACGATAAGATGAAGATCTTTTCAACATCTGCTTCCATGCACAGATCCGGGAGACCCAATTCTATGCGGTATTTCCTAGGATTCTTAACGGACGAGCAGAAACCTTCTACCTTCATTACGTCGATCAAGACGATACATTTGCAATAGCGTATCACAAGGTTAAGACGCATTTCGACACCGATGTTAACCATCATCACTATTACACCGACTGGACAACTGCTACCTTCGATAGGGTCCGTAGGGAACATAGTGATAAGACCCTACATCAGGTTCTTCAGCTGCTACTTGATAAGCTACAGCTTTGCCAGAGGCCCTAGGCCCTGAGTATCGAGGAGGATAATTTACGTACTACAGTTATCCGAGCCTGCCGAGGAGTCATAGAACTTGAACACGCATTGTTCAAGCCTGCCCGCGTGTGCGAAGAGCTTTTTGCTGATTTACGGTCTTCAATCGAGACCTCTATCAGTAGACAAGCTATATATACAACCTCGACGGACAGCTACTACATGGACCGACGGTACAATCAGTACGGTAGGAACCGCGGATATTCCTCTTTTCGGCCCCGAGGAACCCACAAGGTAGCCGAGATCAGAAACGACAGTGGACGAAGAAGTGCTTCGTTTGTGGAAAGCCAGAATGTTGGTCAACGAGGCATTCCGACGAAGAAAGACGTAAGTCACGAAGCCAGTATATCTCACAATGCCACTTCAGTGGGTCTACGGCCACAGCTACGGACTACGCTGCCTACCTCACGGAATATGAAGGAGCCGATACGGACGAGGAAGCCGACTTTGACCCTAGTGACCCGTTTGACGACGAAGACGAAGACCAGTTGCAGGACGTAACGCAGTTCCTTACAGACCAGGCTTTCTTGCACCAAGTCACCGGAGAAGACATCTACGCCGATAATGCCCCAAAGACCCCATCCAACCAGTTCCTTATTGAGGACCGGTATGCAGGACGCTTCAAGGCATCCTTCCAGATACCGGTGCAGCCAACGTCTCGACTGTCGGTATGCAACAGTATCTTGCGCTGCAGCGGGAAGATCCTTCCGTTGCTATAGATAAATCGACAGCCGGAAGAGCTTCCATCACGTTCGGAAAAGGAGAGTCAACATCGTCTATAGGGAATGTTAACGTACGAACAGCTATTGGACAGATCGACTTCCAGGTCCTCAACGCTCCGACCCTTTCTTGCTTTGCCTTGCAGACATGGATAGGCTGCACGTCTATTTCAATAATACCACAGACGAACTTATCCAAGGCGAGACCCGCATCCCTATTATACGCAAATGGGGACATCCTTGGTTTCATCTTAGCAAGCAAGAACAGAGCGTTTTTCTTACAGAAGGGGAACTACGTCGCCTACATCGCCGTTTCGGGCACCCCGCTACAGATCGCCTATTCAAGCTGCTAACCCGGGCCGGCCACGAAGTCGAACAGCAACGGCTAGAGGAAATCGGCAAATTCTGTCATCACTGCCAACTACACGGACGAGAGCCTCGTAGGTTTAAATTCAGTCTAAAGATGACCATGAATTCAACTATGAAATTCTTGTCGATGTGATGTACTTAATTAGCCGCCCTGTCTTACATGTCGTCGATTCTGCTACTGCTTTCCACGGGGCTAGGTTCCTGAAGTCCCTATCAACAAAGGACACTTGGGAAGCCCTCCGCTGCTTATGGATCGATACGTACCAAGGACCCCCGGACGTTGTTACCCACGATGCAGGTACGAACTTCGCCTCAACGGAATTTCAAACCGAGGCCAAGATGCTAGGGATTACCTGTAAGGAAGTCCCTATTGAAGCCCATTGGTCTATCGGCAAGGTTGAACGGTACCACGGCCCTTTGCGACGAGCGTTTGAGATTATGTACGCAGAGCTCTCAAGCCAGGCAGACGCAGATTCGATCCTCGAACTAAGGGATATATCACAAGCCTATACGCATTCAACGACAGGACTTGCACGCCTAGTCCTAACCTATCTTCCCATCGAACTACAGGATAAGTACCCAAAGGGGACTATCATCCGGATCGTCCGCCCTCTTTATGGCATTGCAGAAGCAGGCCTACATTGGTTCGCAACATACCACAAGCATCATAGGGAGCAGCTACGGATGTCGACTTCAACGTTCGACCCATGCCTCCTTATAACGAACACGGACCCCAACCAAGCGTTTGGCATAGTGGGCATGCAGACGGATGACACCTGATCCTCGGAACAGCAGGCTTTTCTGTACACGAAGAAAACAAGATACAAGAAGCTAAGTTTATCGCCAAGCCAAAGACAAAGCTTTTAATTTCTTCGGCCCTAGACTTCAACGGCTGTACGCTTGCACTAGACGAAAAGGTCGCATTCACCTTAAGCAGAAGGGACAAGCTAAGAAAATCGCCCTTATTAACGTGGAAGCTTCTGATCGTATGCAAAAGTACATGGAACAACGCGCCCGAGGAGCCTATATCGCCTCAATCTGCCAGCCAGAAGCTACGTGTGATATGTCAACCGCGGCACAGGTCCAACAGCCCACAGACACGGACTGCATCACCTCAACAAAAGACTCAAATGGCAACAGGACAACCTACAAAGAGGGATCCAATACGTGCCCCTAGACCTACAGACAGCTAAACTAATGGTCTTTACGGATGGATCATTTGCCAACAATAAGGACCTCTCATCACAAATCGGCTTTCTTGTTATGCTTGTTAACGAAAAACAAGAAAGCTCCGAGGATGTTCCTTCTTTTAACATTAACGGCAATTTGATCCATTGGAGCTCTACGAAGTGCAAGAGGGTAACCCGAAGTGTGCTTGCCTCCGAGATCTACGGCATGACCGACGGATTTGACATCAGCCTTGCTATTGCAACGACCCTAAGAATGATCACCGACCGACTGAATCTCCCTCCAATCCCCCTTATCGTCTGCGTAGACTCTTATTCCCTTTACGAATGCATTGTCAAGCTCGGCACAACAAAGGAAAAGCGTCTTATGATTGACATTATGGCTCTACGGCAGTCATATGAGAGACGGGAGATATTAGAAGTCCGATGGATCAACGGCAACGACAACCCAGCTGATGCAATGACGAAGGCGTCACCAAACAAGGCCCTTGAGCGCTTCATCTCGACTAACCAGCTGACTATCCGGGTAGAAGGGTCAGTCCATAGGCCAGTGTGAAACAGAGCGTCTCCTTGCCTTTTGACTTCTTTCCTTCCCTGGCCACTAGATTATCAACCAGCTATATTGTTACCTTTGTCTTTCCTTGAAAGAAAAAGTTGCTAGTGTCTAGATGCGGAGGACTTCATTATGTGGGGACATGGGCTCTACTGGCCCTACGCGAGAAGGAGGCTTTATAGGAGGGTCTCGGAAGACATTCGGACCGGGGTTACACGCCTCCCTTCATTCCTCCCTTCCTTCCTTCTTCTCCTCCTTCCCCTCATTCTTCTTCATCTTTTTCTCTTCTCTTCATAGATTACCAATACAACAGTCACAGGCATAGCTCTTTAGCACCTTTGATTCGTATTCTCTATCACCCCTGTGCACAGCACGAATACCCACGACCCAACACAATCATTTTCTAGTTGCAAAACTACATTTCAAGCACATATTAAGCTCGGCAGTCCAAATTTTTAAAATAGAATACAGGACTTATACCGTTAAACAGCCTCCGGCAAGCTAATTCGAAAAACGCGTTCAGATCCTCAACATCTCAATACTGCGCGAACAATTGAGGTGACACGAATTGCGTCATCTCGCGATTAAGAGGCTGCTAGGGACTTATCTACTCCTCGAGCCCAATATGACTGCTACTTGTTTGTCCACACAAGCTAGCCCGATGAGAAAGTACCGAAACATCTGCATGATAAGGATATATTGTGCCAACCAGCTGGGTTTAGACGCGTTAAAGTCCCTGCACATAGAAATGGGCACCCCCCTGTTTTGGGCACCCCAAAAAAATCACGACCATTTTCAACACCATTAATTCAATCCCTTCTCACTGCCCACCACCGTGCACTACGATACAATCGTCACCTATTTCTGAAACCTCAGCTTCGGTTTCATCAGATTCTTCATTCTCAGCTGCGTTCACCTCCTCCTGCGCCCGTCGTATTGCCTCAATATTGGCGAACCTCGAATTCGGGCTCGTGACCACCCTCTTCCTTTTTCGGCTTGACGGCCGCCAATTGTGTTTCCAGTGCCTGAATCTGCAATTGAGCTTTTGCTAAAGGCCATCCTTCTCGTCAAACCCTTTTGTGATCTTCCTGAACAGCAATCTCTTCGTGGGCACGTCGTCGTCTAGCTGGTTGAATTGAACTACCTGAACCTTCAGATCTTGCGAGCGCCTCGGGGTCGACCACGCAATCTGGGATGTGTCTGATTGCCAGTCACTGGTGGGTAAGTGGCTATTGAATGCATTGGCCACATTTTTCGCGTTCTTTTGCGTCTGTTGCTGTTCTCCAGCAGAAGAGGGCTCAAAAGTGGCTTCGCCATCGACACCGGCCACAAACCCGTCGCTTTCCAGCCACCCTTGATGTTTGACACAGTGAGCGCTTGCTCGCGTGCTTTCTGGTAGCAGGAAAGAAAGTTTTGCTTGCCGACTGGGCTTGAATCGGTCAGGAGGCTGAGAAATCCGACCTGTTTGCGGTAGTAGTGCTTAAGAGCGGAGAAGACAGACAAATCGAGCGGTTGCAGCACATGAGAGGTATGGGGAGGTAAGAAAGAAGGTGAATCTGATGCTGGTAGCATAGATACATGAAGTCAACCGTCTCGTGACTTCCGTGGCCGTCCAATACTAGCAGTCTTCGCTCCGAAGGGTCGGGTGGCTGGGTTCTTGGAATGAACACCTTTCGAGCCACTCCACCGCAGTTTGGTCCGAAGTCCAGCCGTTCTTTGTCGCAGTGAATTGCCAGTCACTAAAAGTACTGAGATCTTCTGGGAACCACTGTTGCTGGACCGATTTGCCCTTGAAAATGACGAGTGGAGGAGGAAGGTGCCGGCAGCGGACACGCACTCGATGAACGACGTCCAGACCCGAGAACCAGGCGTCTTCTTTTGTACAGATCGTTTTTCAGCACTGCCAACGACCAGGCCATTCTCCCCAAGTCCTTCCATGATGCCTGCTTCATCCATGTTGTACCTGTTCTCCGGCTTAATAGCCAGAATCTCGGGAAGGAAGAAATTGTTGAACCAAGGCCGAATTACCTCGGTAGAAGCGCCGTTGACACGCGCAGAGTCTCTGTGATGGCACTTCTGGGTCCGAACTGCAGGATTTCGTCTTAAAAATGCTTGCATCCAGTGTTTTCCGAGCGGTGTGTGGTCTCCTTTGACGGCGAGCATGCGCTGCGCGAACTGCCTGATCTGCGAGTGAGTGGGAGGAAGGCCCAAGGCGTCCTGAATGAGAATCCATTCGGTAAGTTGCTTTTCCTGTGTCTGAGAAAGCCTCTGAAGAGCAGAAAATGCATCCTTTCTGCATTCGTGACCATGCATGCGATTGTAAAGAGTTGCCCTCGGACGCCCCAATCGCGAGCAGCCTTCTTGGCGGATCCGCCATTGGCGATTGCCTCAAGGGCGCTGTGAATGTCAGACTCTGTATATTTCATCAGTAGTGGCTTGAAGACACATGCGTCAATTTTTAGCAGATTGGATGCGTTTCCGCGGTGAAATTTGCTGTTGAAGTTGACGCAGCCGTTTAGGTTGGGCACCCATCTTGGGTGCCCAAAACAGGGGGGTGCCCATTTCTATGTGCAGGGACTTATTCGCGCTCAATTGACCACCTGTTAATCCTACTGCTGTCGGAAAGTGTCGCGAAGCAGATTTGATGTTCAATTGAACATGTCACCTGAACAACAGGTGGCTTGATCTTTCGTGACAGAAAGACACGGCCAGCCCATCCCACATTTTTTTGCCTGCATTGAGCAACGGTCTTCGCGACAACTTCCACGACATTATTTTACGACGATCTCGCCTAATTCCTGCTTCGATATTTCCGACAGCGGCTTCGGGTCGACCCCCGAATCAACGCCCTGCCCGACGACCTATCCTACCCGTTCAACCTCGACTCCTTTATACTCTATTGTGGTTTATTTGGTATTCTCGAGCCCTTTAGCCAAGACCGGGTAAAACTTCATGACCCTCCAACCTCCCCCTCTTATTTAATCACTTTACGAGTGAATAGCTAATTATAACATGATACATAGTATGGCCCTTGCTGAATCGAAAACATCTGCCGCAGCAAGTTTCTTTGCTCCTAGGACCTGTCAGAACCTTGATGAGGTTCTCGTCGGATAGGTCACGGACACAGCAAGAATGGTACGATCGGATGAAGTGAGGTATGATGTGTGTGTCTGTCTGTGTCCCCCATTTGGGGGTGCTCTGCCCAAGCCCTATATCAAAGGGCGATGGCCTCAATCCTATGACATGCCATCACGTCATATCTCTGTAACTGTCTCATAGATGTCCTCGTGGCCTCATCAGCTGCGCTACCTGGTGCGCTATCGTCTGCGCTACCGTTGGCGCTGCCACTAGTAGCCTGACGCTATCGTAGCTGCATCTACCCGGATTCTACCGGATCTAACACACCCTCCCAGCTGAGCTCGCATCGCGAGGGAAGCTGCCAATGATCCGCCCAAATCGTCCAAAGCCATTGTGTATGTGAATTGTTCTTTCGGGCCGGAACATCATCTCTCCGGGCGAGTATCGTGCCTGTAGATGCGCTCGCGGCTCATTGCGCCTTCTTCGTGATTTCGTCGCTGGTCATTCCTTATCTTCCTTGTGCCACACCTCATATATCTGTTCTTGGAGTTCTTCGTCATCTGTTTCGGGGAGCGACCGGCCGGCGAGGAGGCTGGTGACGTCTTCGAGGCCCATTTGCTTGACGAATGCTTCAAAGTGAGGTCCTTGGAGCGCCTTTGTCAAACCATCGGCCATCAGCTCGGCGCTGGGTGTATACGTGACTTCGATCGTGCCGTTGGCTACTTCTTGACGAAGCCAATGGTTGTGGATGTTGACGTGACGAAGCTTTGTCTTCAGCGCTGCGATCTCTGCGTTGACGAGCCGGATTGTTTGGTTATTGTCGCATTGAATCCGAATGTGTGAGGCATCCAGCTTGACACCCAGCTCGTCGATCAGCCTGCTCATGTATATTGACTCCTTGGCGGTTTGTGACAATGCCAAAAGCTCTGCCTCAGTTGTCGAGGTTGTGACGGTATCTTGCTTGTTTGCCCGCCACCCGATGAGACCTCCAAACAGCTTCATGGCGTAGGCCTGCGAGCTTTTCCGGTCGGTCGAGTTGTCAGCAAATGATGAGTCGCTTGCCACTTCAAAATCATCGCCACCTCCCAGCCTGAGGGCCAAATTCTTTCTCTCGACCAAGTAGCAAATTGCTCGGTCAGCAGCGTCTTGGTGTTGAGGGCTGGGGTTGGACATGAAGTTTGCCAGTTTTGAGGCGACAAAGGCTACATCTGGCCTTGTGATGACTGCTGCATACAAGAGAGATCCGCTTTCACCTGGTAGGAGTTTACTTCTCCGTTCGTGGCGATGCCTTCAAATGGGAGTAGCTCTTCAGTCCCCATTGGTGTGTTAAAAATTCTGCGTTTGTTTGCTAGGCGGCCGATCTTCTCAATGTATGAAGCTTGTGACAGCCAAATCAGGCGTCGATCACGGTTGCGAATGATTTCGATTCCTAAGAACCATTGGAGGTCGTTTCCTCCGGTCAGTTCATATTTTGAACGCAGTTGGTCGGTTAGAGCTTTGCCCTCAGTCCGTCTTCCTTCCGAAACGCAAACACAATGTCATCAACGTAAAAGAAGACGAATATGCCGTCGAGGGTTAGGCAACAGGGCTCATGAGGAACCGTCTTGAAGCCAATTTTCTTGAGCGTATTGGTCAGCTCGCGATGCCACAACAGAGGCGACTTTCGCAGCCCGTAGAGTGCTTTCAACAATTTCAAGATTATGCCGTGTTTCCTGTGACCCGGCGGCATACGCATGTAAATCCCGTCGTCCGTTGGCATTCACAAATGCATTGACGGCGTCGTATTGGATCAGTTCGAGGTCGAATCTTGCCGCAATTGCCATCAGTGATCTGAAGCTTCTTCCAGCCAACGTAGCTGCATATGTGTCTTGGGTGTTTCGACGTTCTTGGTCGCCTCGGACCACAAGGCGAGCTTTGCATTTCACCAGCCTGCCTCGCTTGGTGTACTTGTAGACGTAAATCCACATGCAGTCAAGAATTTGTGTTCCATTTGAGATTGTGTTGAGGGCCACCTCCTTCCAAGAACCCATTTTCTGGTGGCTCTGGAGGTGGTCTCGTTCGGCTTGCTCGAACATGTAGCGGAAAGTGTGTGTCTTGAGATCGTGGTGACTCTTTGGGAGAGGCGGTAGGTCTTTTCGATCGATTTGTTTCTTGAAGATGAGTCTTTCTAGGTAGGCCTTGTCTCGAGGCTTCCCACTTGTCTTGTCTTTTGAAATGGGGTTTGCAACAGTCCCTGCTAGGAAAGCTGACGCCCAAGTCTGTCTTGCAGAGTTTTTCTTTTGACGATGTGGTTCTGGCTCACAGGAGGGTGACAGCCCGTCCTGGTGCCCATCTGTCAAGCTCTGTGATGTTTCAGGCATTGTGAGGTCATCATGACTCTCTTGCCACCAGGGTCTGTCCTGGATTTTTCTTTCCACAAAGGGGTCTTGTATCATTTGTATTGAGGCTGCAAGGAGAGCAGCCGGAGGAGTCTGCGGAGGCGTTGGCAGGAGTTCAAAGCGTGCCTCAGTGTATTTTTCATTGAATTGTTCCTCGTTTGGTGGATCGACCATTTGTTCGTCGTCGTCGTTGAAATCGAAGACGGGCTCATCTGGAGCCTGCGTTGTCATTAGCGAGGAAATTTCATCATTCTTTGGGAGGCCAATCTGGGTGAGAGTGTCTGCCAGTTTGTCAAGGTCGGCTTCCCTGACCGATTCAGCGAGGCTTTGGAGCGTTCCATCGAACACTTGATCCTCATCGAAAACGACGTCTCGTGTGAGTATCACCTCGCCTGTCAAAGGTATCCAGACCCTGTAGATGTTTGAGGAGGAATACCCGACGAGATGGCCAATCCAAGCCCTTGGGTTGAGCTTTTTGAGTCGTTGTTCTTTCTTTTGGGCCACCTTGTCATGGCGAAAACCTTGCACCCGTAGGCGCGGAGGTGTTCGAGGGTGGTTTCTTGCCTGTGAGCACTTTGTAAGGTGATCTCCATTTCTTCCCGTATCTTGGGGTGCGGTTGTTGAGATACACCGCGGCCCTGTAAATCTCTGTCCACAGCTGAGTTGGAAGCATTCCCTCATCGCTGCCTTGTCTTTGATCGTCCCGGCTGAGCGTTCGGACAATCCATTTTGACATTGGGTGTTTGGGGCCGATGGCTCGACCTTGAGGAACTTCTCGTGGACGAGGTAGTTGAGAATTTCTGGTTTCCCCGTAGTCAGCTCATTGTCGCACTCGACGATTTTTGTGATAAATTCGTATTGATGTTTCAGGTTGCTCAGAAGGTATTCAATCGAAGCCTTGACAGTCTCTGTTTTGCGGTCTTGCAGGTAGAAATCCCAGGCAAACCCGCTTGCTCTGTCTGTCACCAGCATCAGCGAGTTATATCCCTTCTTGTCAGGCTCGAAGTCGTGGAAATCGATTCCGAGTCTTTCCTCCAGGTTTGCAGTCTTCGCGGGGTTCTCTTCGTATCTGTTTTCTCAACTTGCCCATTACGCAGTTATCACAGTCAACGGAGGGGGGATTCCTTTGATCTTCACTCCTCGTGAGCAGTTCACGAGGTGCTCCATGGCTCTGGGGCCTGGGTGCCCGAGCCGCAGGTGCCAGAGCTTTGCAGATACCTTCTGAGGGCTTCGTTGTGTTATCGAAGTGTACTTGTTTCGTCTGTTGAAGAATGCCCTTCGAGTGACGTCGCTGGGGATGTGTTCCAGCACAAACTGGTCGTGTTCCTGGCTGACCAGGCCGATGATGCTCCAATCTGAAGCTCGAAGGCACGACTGTTGGCCTGGACTTTCGTCCCACCAGATGCCGTGTCTCTTCAGGGTTTTGTAGGAGACTAGGTTGCACGCAAAATTTTCGCAAAACGCGACATCAGTCAGCCGTAGACAGCGTGGGCCTTGAGGGCCTTCGATCCTGATGTCGACATCACCATAGCCTTGAATAGGCACTTGGCTCTCCCCTGCCCAGAGGAAGTCGCCTTTTGTCGCTCTCCTGAAGTTGAGAAATCGTGAAATTTGGTTGAAGATGTGGATGGTCGAAGCAGAGTCAAGCAGGGCCGAGTTGCACAGCGGATATGACTCGACAGAGAAAGCTGCTTGGCCAGGTTGATGAGCGATGGCGAATGAAGCGGAGCACTTCCCCATCGCTCTTCCAAGTCAGGCTGGAGTTAGATCTTGAGCAGGAGCTGGGGTTGAAGCTGGCTCCCGCTTCGTGCTTGGCATGAATTCCCTTTCTTGCCTCTTTCCACGGTATCTGTCCATTTGTCTTTTCACTTCTTCAAGCTTCGAGTTTCTCTCGACCGCTTCGTTTGGAGCCCACCACTTTGGGGCTATATCTGGGTTGATTGCGTAGCAATTCGAGAATGTATGGCCTGGTTGTTCGCAAAGGTTGCAGAATCTTCTGCTTGGCTCGTCATCTCGAGGCCTCTTGTATGTATCTCTGTCTCTTGTATCTCTGTTGTCCCGGCCTCGATCTCGGCCTCTTCCTCTTCCTCTTCCTCTATTTCCTCTCGTCTCGTCAAGTGTTGGGCCGAAGGAGCCAGGCTTAATCGTAGAAGGAATCATTTCGGAATCGATATAGTTTGTGAAATGGTTCGTCATGGTGTGTATATCAAAATCATCGTCAGTATCTTTTCGGAGAGGTAGAATTGGGTTACCCAGCCGGAACATTGAGGTTTCACAGCCTCCAAGAAGTCTCTGATCCATATAGCTGGGTGTGTCGCTTCCGCGAGCTTCTCTCTGATGCCCTCGTGCATCACGTTCTTCCATGACTGGATCCAGCTTTCCCAGTCTTGCGGTGGTTTGGTGAGAGGTGTAACCGCCTTTCGATACCTATTTTGCAAGGCCCGAGTCATCTCTTTCTTGTTGCCTTTGGCCTGCTTCTTCAGGCTGGCGTACCAGTCTTTGAGGGACTTGGCTGGAAGACAACAGGTCTGAAAATATGGATCATCAACGGTCTTTGCCACCCAGGCTCGCAGATCTTTGATGCTTTCCTCTTGTTTTTCGTGCTTTCCGAACCTTGAACTGGAACATACGCCAGTCGTTGGTGGTGTCCCTGAGAGTAGCGTCAGCTGCTCGAGTGGTTACTCCCGTTTGATTAGCAGTTGGCTGTGGTTCTTCGAGAAGGCTTGCTCCTTCGACTCCAGAAACCCAGTTCCAGAGCTTGTAATCGATGGCAAGTGCCTGGAATTTGGTGTCCCATAGAGACCAGTCCTTGGGCTGCCGGAGGAAGGCTTCAGAAGTCGGAGTCTTTGCGAATGAAGTCATCGCCAAAATTAATAAAAAAAAATTGAATTGCTTAGTTTTTCAGATGCGGGTTCTTCCACTCAATTGGTAGAATTGAGACTCTTAATTGTCAGAACCTTGATGAGGTTCTCGTCGGATAGGTCACGGACACAGCAAGAATGGTACGATCGGATGAAGTGAGGTATGATGTGTGTGTCTGTCTGTGTCCCCATTTGGGGTGCTCTGCCCAAGCCCTATATCAAAGGGCGATGGCCTCAATCCTATGACATGCCATCACGTCATATCTCTGTAACTGTCTCATAGATGTCCTCGTGGCCTCATCAGCTGCGCTACCTGGTGCGCTATCGTCTGCGCTACCGTTGGCGCTGCCACTAGTAGCCTGACGCTATCGTAGCTGCATCTACCCGGATTCTACCGGATCTAACAGGACCCGGCGTAAATTGCCAACGCAGAACTATGCCCGTCGAACGTCCTCAATTCAACCCTCAGAATCCCACGCGCGCGCGCCCTGATCCTAGCACAGCTCCGGCTCCTTCGTCCCCTCTTCCGACTGGCGAAGATACAATTGTCTGCGCCCCCCCGGGCCATCCTGACTGTGAGTCAGATGATGACATGCCCGACGCGGATACACCAGAGCCGCCATTGAACAGTACCGGTAGTCATATGACGCTCGCAGAGAAAGCCGGACTTATCAAGAAGTGGGCCGACAACAAACAGAAGCATGTTCGCAAGAAGAGAGACAAGAACAGCCACGTTTATTGGTACATGCAGAGGGAAGCCATTGACAGGAGCTTTTACTCGAGTACAAGTATGGACCGAAGATATTCCAAGAGTTCCGGTGGACTTGTATAGAGTGCCTTCAAAATCCTTCTACTCTTCGGAAGATATTCCAGGTCCTTGAATCGAACCGCCGAGGGGTTACCTCTGGCATGGGAGACCATTTAAAATCCCACAATATTACGAAGGAGTCTCACCACGCTCGAATCAATGGATACGGCCGCGCCATTGGCGGAGGAGGTTATACAGAGGCAGATGCATGGAGCGGTCGACCCGGCAAAGAGCAAGGCTCACGGCAAAGGAGTCTATCCGCCAGTGGTTTGTAAAACACCGACAACCCTTCTCTGTTGTTGAGACCCCTGCTTTCCAAGAGATGTTCTTGGCTCACAATACAACCTGTGTGTACAGGAGTCGTATAACTTTACGCAATCATATCTACACAGACTTTGTCGAACGCAGAGAGAAGCTGAAGATTGAGCTTGAGTACAATTGTGCTACCATCTCGCTCACCCTTGATATCTGGACAGCACCGAATCGGGTGCCTATTTTCGCCATTATTGCGCACTGGATTACGCCGGAGTTTGAGGAGGGAGAAGAGGTTATTGAGTTTATCGAGCTCAAAGGATCGCACACTGGCAAACAACTAGCTGAGATAGTTGAGAAGACACTTGAGGAGCTCAGGCTGTTGACTTGGTATGAGACATGGACCAAGACATGTTTAGGCAGCACTTACAAGTGGTGAGTCACTGGATAGTGGCACGGACGTGCCACTATGTATATATATGTTGAGAGCTGTCAGACAGAATTGAATAGAAGCAAGTTCAATCGCAACAGGTTATGCACCCGGTTGCTTTTATTTTGCTTCCACTGCACGATTGAACTCGGCATATGAGAACACTTTTTCGTCAAGAATCGACGGTTGACAGCAAAGACCCGGCACTATGGGCAAGAAAGACTACAAAGGAACCATCCTTGATGGAAGAGACTCCTTTGACAGCTGGAAGATGGATCTTGAAGATAACTTGTTGAGTGACGATCTTATGAGCTGCGTCACCGGTATGGCAACAGCGGAATCGTCAGATTTATCAATGCCAGGAGAGAATGCTGCGGACATTAAAAATGTCTCTCTTGCGAGAATGAAAATACGACAGAGTATTGACCAGATCCACAAGAACTCAGTCAACCATCTCACCGATCCACGAGCAATTTATCAGTCCCTCGTTAAGCGATACGCGATATCGAACAAAGCAGGGAAGACCTGGCTAGCCTCTGAAAAAGCGAAGGCGAGAGAGGCCATGGATAGCAAAGAAAAGGCAAACGCGGTCAGGATCCTTGAAGACAGTGGTAGTGAATCTGAGAGATCTACCTACTTGCTTCCGAACACAAAAGTAACAGCCCTCCACAATGGTATCTCGACAGCTGTGCTTCCGTCCATATCACCCCAAGGGAAGACCAATTTATCTCAAAGTTGTCCCCTACAAAGACAAGTGTTGAGATTGCAGACGGCTCCTGAGGTTCGTTCAAGAGGGAAAGGAGATGTGAGGATCTTTTACGTCTCACAGAAAGGAAGAGCAAGGTCGACAATAGTACGGGGTGCACTACATCCCGGAGGCGACGAGCAGCCTGCTATCAGTCGGTGAACTGGAAGACAGGGAGCATGTATTGTCGTGGACTCTCCGGGGAAGACAGTCACGGTGACAAGAAATCAGGAGGAGGTGCTGTTTGGCCACAGACATAAAAAGGTGTGGCGCTTGAGCCAGACAAGAGGGCACCGAGCCCATACAATCCAAGAAAAGGATGGCGATAACGGGGTAGCGCTGAAGTCAATCCTGAAGATGCCTGAAAGACTACTACATGCTAGGCTGGGACACCCTGGAAAGCATATGGAGGGCAAACTGAACGCCATAATGGATGATCTCGGAGACAGCTCATTCTGCCCGTCATTCTGCTCAAGCTGCACCGAGGCCAAAATGACAAGAAAGGTCTCAAGGAGCCAATGTCTGCGGTGACAGAAAAGCTAGAGAGAGTCCATATAGATCTTTGGGGCCAGTTGAGCTATCACTTCAAGGAATGAAGTACATGCTGACAATCACCGATCAGGCTACCGGGCGAGTTTGGGTTTATTTCTAGAGACAAAACGAGAATTACCGACAAGATCAAAGCCTGGGTAGTTGTTGCAGAGGCAGAGTGTCGCGAGTACGGAAAAGGCGAAAAGGTCAAGGCGATGCGCTTTGATCGCGGAAAGGAATTTCTAAACGAGGCAATGAAGGTATTTTGCACGGGAAGAACTATTCGGATCGAACCAACAGTGGGCTACCACCCGAGGGGAATAGTATCTCTGAGAGGAGCATGAGAACCATATCAGAGAGGGGTCTGCTATGCGTCACGAAATGGACCTCCGGCAGCATACTGGGAGTTTTCGAATGCAACAGCGGCCTATCTGAGAAATAGGGAGTTGTCAAGGGAATGGCTAAAAGCCCATGGGAGTTATGGCGTGGAGAGAAGCCAAGATCAGGGCACTTGAGAGTGTTCGGATGTCCTGCCTGGGTATTTATTCCCAAAGAAAAGAGAACAAAGCTTCTGAAAAGAGCATGGCAAGGAGTTTTGTTGGATACAAAGAGGAGACAGATAAAATCTATCTAGTCTGGAACCCAGCTGATAAGAAGGTCCACGAGGTTCGATTCGTGGAATTCGATGAGAGCAAGTATATGGACAATGAAATCAGCCAAGAATCACAATCGCAGTATGACGATGAGAAGGAAGAGAAAAAGGAGCAAGGGGAGCTCACTGATGATGACTCTGATGCCGAAGATTCGGTCGGGGATAGGACTACGGACCAGGAAGCTACAGAATCTGGGGAGGATGCCGGAGAAGCAGCGGATGGGAACCCGACCGACCAAGACACTGCAGATTCGGAGGAAGAGCTCCAAGGAGACACAATCATTGTCAATACAGGGGAGGCGGATATAACCTCTCCTGAAAGGAGTCTGCCGAAAACAAGATCCCAGATTCGACGAGAGGCCGTGGCACTCAAAAGAGCAGAGAAGCAGCGAGCAGAGCTGGAATGGCGGCAAAGAGAAGAACAGCGCATGGCAGAACGTCTGAAGAAGCGAGGGAGAGTG